AAAAAAAATCAAGTCCAGGAAGAGCAGCTTTCCTCTCATTAGGTCCTGATGAAGTGCAGATGGTGTGGATGTTTAGGAGATCACTCCTGTTTATATAATTTCATATGCATTTTCCCTGCTTTAATGATCAGGACTATGGATCCCCGGCTTCCTGGACGGATCAGTGTGTTTGCTTTGATGTGGCTGCAGCGCACGGCCAGGAGTGTGTGCATGTGTGTGTGTGTGTGTGTGTGGTGGGGTGTTAGTGTGAGGGCCCCCGTTTTTAATCTGGCAGTGTTTAGATGTCGTTCACGACCCGCGGTTCACGGTAGAGCTGCAGAGTCAGGAACAAATACAGCTGTAAAACACCAACGCTGGCACCGGAGGAAAACACGTCTGATCACGGCCTGGAGACCACCTCACATCTGTATCTGTGTGTGTGTGTGTGTGTGTGTGTGTTCCCCGTGTACTGTAGCTACACTGGTGGTATTTAAAGATTCAAGATTTAGTTTAGGGCTAGAGCAGGGGTCCCCAACCCGTGGCTCCTGGACCTTACTTTATTTACTGTATGGTGTTTTCACTAAAGACCAGTGGTGTCAAACTCCTGGCCCCCGGGCCACTTCTGGCCTGTGAACCTCCCATATCCCATATCTACCATGACTATATGTCAATAATATATATTTGTTTTTGCCATTTGTCATTTTTTTATTAGTCATCATGAAATGTTTTTATTGGTCATTTAAGAATGAAAAAAATCTTAAGATTTTTACTGGTTAATTCTTTTTAGCTGTTTAAACTAGTATAATGACTTGGTACGCCCTTATTTTTGGCTAACTCGCTAGTTTGCTATAGTGTTGCTAAATGCTAGTCTTGGGTTATTTTTAGCTTCATTAGCTTACGCTTGGCTAAGACAAAGTAGACACAACATGAGTGGACAATAAAGATACTATCAGATAAAGGTCTGGTCAACATCAATGTAATTATAGAACGGAGCGATCTTACTGGCTGTTCAGAGGTCATGTGGTGATGGGTGAACTACTGTATTTCACTCATAATTAACCGAAAAAATCAGTTTCCTGTGGAGAACATGGAGCAGAAAATGAAAACTTCTGATGATAATTATAGTTTTAATCCAGGTGAGAATCTGATGAAGACGACGGTCAGTCCTGCTGCAAAGGTAACAACATGTCTGTCACTTATTCCAGGAAACAGAGTGAAGGATTTACACCACTGTACTCTGGACACTGCTGCATGTTCAGAAACACACACACACACACACACACTATGTAAAAACAACAGCTCGACACCCTGCGAGGAAAAAGACAAACCCCTGAAAAGCACCGACCTGTGGTGTTTACCTATGGTTTTTAACTGAATGGTCCGCTCACAGCTACAGCGCCTCCTGCCCCGGGCTCCTCAGGGCAGGGGCCGGTGTTTTTCTTGCTCCTGATGCAGAACAGATGAGGAGGACATTTCTTTTTTTTTTTTCTTTTTTGGGGAGGGAAATTTCTGTTTGCAGTGGAGAGTCGGAGCGAGGCCGCAGTCGGTAGCTTCATGGTCTGACAAAAGTATTTAAACACTGATACGAGCCTTAAAACACACACGAGGAAGTGGTGTGTGTGTGTGCGCGCGCGCTCGTGTGTGTGTGTGTGCATTAATCATACATCCGCAGCTCCAGGAGGTCTGACAGACTTTGTTTAAAAAGGAGGGAGAAGCAGCTCTTTCCCAGTGTTTTTCACCCAGTGTTTCTAATGGAGATGGTGGAGGAGATGGTGGAGGAGATGGTGGAGGAGATGGTGGAGGGGTAGGATGGTGACCATGGTGAAGATGATGGTGGAGGGGTAGGATGGTGACCTTGGTGAAGATGATGGTGGTGGTAGTAGCCATGATGGGGCATTGTTGGAGATGATAGCGATGATGATGATGATGATGATGATGACAGTTGAAGTATGTTGGAGATGATAGCGATGATGATGATGTTGACAGTTGAAGTAGTGTTAGAGATGATGTTATTGGACGGTTCGATGAGGTGGTGGAGGTGGTGGTTGTGGCAGTGTTGGAGAAGATGGTGGTGGTCTCCTGGCGGATATATGTCAGCGTCAGTCTGGCTCTGACCGGTGTCTTGTGACTCAGCAGATCTCAGGTCCAGATCTCAGGTCCTAGTGTCTCTGGGTGAGCGGTGAGTCACAGGATCATAACATCAGTGATGGTGAAAGAATGCTGAAGGTACAAACATCTTCTCTTCACATCTCTCCAACTCTTCCAGCTGACGCAGACGCTGACTGATGGACTTTTTCCTCAGGATAAGTTTGTAGTCGTTTTAAAAGTGTTATTTGGCGCCATCGTGTGGGGATATTTAGTATAAATCAAACCGTCTTTACAGGGCGTATAATGTATTTATCAGATCATCGATGTGCGTGTCACTGAAACATCATCAGCTTCAAGACCAAGTGTTTTAGTGAAACTTCTAACGTTAAAACTTTTTTTTTTTTAATTTAACTAGTTTATGATCCGTTTTTGACCGTTTTTAAGTTAAGAATTTTACCAACAGTATGTAGTTTTTGGTCTGGAACATAAATTAATTAACTTTACGTTTATGTATTTTGACCCAACCCCTAACTATGATACTTGGTAACCTGGTTTGGTTGAACAAACATATGTAGAAGCCAACGAGATGTTTGATGTGTTGTGTTCAGGTCCAGCCTTGCAGACGTCTGCAGGTCTGATCATTTCTGTTTGCACGATCTTCGTCCTTCGGTCGTGTGAGTCTCCACATGAGTCAACAGGTGAGTCTGGACGGTAATGACTGAGTGAGGATTAAAAAACAACCCCTGGTTCCAGTAACTCTTCACTCTGGGGCCAAACTGTGGCTTGGTGCGGTCACTGACTAACAGTGAGATCAAACGCCGTTCCCAGCCACTTTCTTCAACCACGACATGTAAGAGGAGAAATATTCTGTCGTCCACACTGCTGACGCTGCAGTTTCCAGGACGGACGGCAGTGAGGAATCACAGGCAACTGCAACTGCACGTGAGTGGGGGACAACAGACAAACATTATTGCAATTGATTAATAAATCCCTTATCGACTAAAATAAAAACAAACTCTTTAAATGCCCTGAAATTTGACACAGAAAAAAAAACAGGGTTGAAGCTCTTGTTGATGATATGTGGAAAAACCAGATGTTAAAAATACAGAGTTATTTATCTTTGTTTTTAAAATTAAAATTCTAGAATAGGACTGTCAAGTTAATACAATCTTTAAACATATTCAATCATAATTAACTTTAATAATTGATGATCCTCAACATGAAATATTAATGACAGGCTGGAACAGAAATAATATTGTGTGTTTCTGTGTTTCTCACCTCTTTATCTGTGACTAATCAAAATGATGGAATTATTAATTTGCCAAAAATAGTGCACATTAATCTACCTGTGCTTTAATCTTACTAATTTCTAATATAAATTGTTAACAGATTCCAAGTTCCTGTAAAAAAAAACCAGTCTGTGAAGTCTTTGGGTCCAGAAAGTCTCATTTTAATACATAATGCATCATTATGGTAATTAGAATATGAAGCTGGTGGTAAGAGGCCAAACTGTAGACGGGGTGTAATGAGTGAGGTCTATTATTTTTTTGGACAGCAGTGAACACAGATCTGCAGTAGCAGCATCTGAACTGAATTATCTGTCACGTGATTACAGCTGGTTTTCTACATCCACAGGCTGTAAGACAATTGTTTCTTTCAACTTTCTCAGCACAGCAAAAAGAAAACTCTACGTGTTCACAAACAGGTAGTAACTCAGACAAACACAAAAGTGGAGACAACTGGAAAAGTCATTCATAAGTCCCTGCATCAGGCACGAGTCCATTAGTAAACCGTTCCCAGATCAGATTTCACAGCCCCGGCTCGAAAACAAGCGGGTTGAGAGTTTCTTTTGGCTTCGTGCTTTTCACAGCAGTTCTCCACCTTTTCATTAATGAAGTCCTCGCTCATTCCCACTCTTCCCACTCTTTAAGTTTCCACATCCTCCTCCAGACTCTGGTTGTCCTCAGGGGTGGTTTTTAAAGTCTTTAGCCTGTCAGAGTTTGGAGGAAAAGCAGAGAATCATTTATATTTTATATGAAAATTTATGTTTCAGCTGCGGTTTGCAGCTTGGCAGAGAGTCTTAATCCAACTCTGATGATAATGATGATGATAATGATGATTTCTCTTTTGGATCAATCAATATCAGAAGACCACGTGTCTGACGTAGACCAATAGAATCGATCGGTCTCACACAATAGACATGACCTTACTCTGACCATTCTGATCTTTATAAGCTGCTGAATTTCACCTTACTCTGACCATTCTGATCTTTATCAGTGTAGTATAAGCTGGTGGATATGTCACTGAAAATTTACCATTTATATATTCATTTAAAAAAATAGGTAAATAGGTATTTACCATTTATATATTCATTTAAAAAATTTAAATAGGTAAAAAATAATCTTAAAATTGTATGTTTATTACGTAAACAAATTCAATTATTAACACCTCATAAGATAAATTTAAAGTTGAGATATAGCACGTGATCAATGTGAAGTTACTGAAGCGTCCGCAGGGGGGCAGATTTTCTGAGTGACTAAAGGAGTTGCCATTTGACTCTAGGTTTGGTGGGTAGACTAGTAAAAGCCGGATAAGTCACACTTGACCAAACCGAGTTAATGTTTAACCTGCAGTTTCTAGCACTGATCTGCAGGCGTCATCTACAAAGTCAACCCTTAGAATTAAAGTTAATGACAGCAGAATGTAATAGGACGCCTCACTCTGCTCAACATTTCTGGTACATTTCTCAACTGCAGTTAAACGTGTTAAACAATTAATCTTTGTAAAATTAATTCATTAATAAATAGATAAATAAATAGGTGGGTAGTAGTGGTTTACGATAGTTTTCTTCATTTCACAAACACAAATCTTACACAAGATTAACGTTGATAAATCTGTCCTTTTTCTTTTGTGACATAGCAATTCATCTTCTGGTAATAAACGATCTCTGTGTTGGAGCGCGTCGGCCAAATAAATCCCACCGCCGTGTCGTCAGTTCCGTAAAACGTTCCTCTTGCATCCAATTTGGGAGAAAAGGGATTAAAGGTTGTAAACGAGCAGGTCGAACGAAACGAAAATTATCGACGGTGTTGTGATGTCACTAAAACATAATTAGATAGCGTATTTGTTTACACTTGGCTAGTTTTTCCTTACTAGACTGACAGTGTGACACGTCGGTCTGACTTAGGGACGTGCACTAAGTGGGATGCTCTGGCGTTAGCCTGTTATTAGCTCGCAGGCTAGTTTCCCGTACATCTCGAATCTAAGGACAGGACCAGGAGCTCGCCGTAAGTCCAACCGTTTCCTTACAAACTATTGTTAATTTTTCACTGTTTTAATATTTCTTACATTGATATTAAACAATGCCCCCCTTTGCATAGTAAGTAGCGTTACAGCGAACTCACTTATGCGTTTTTTAAATTCGCTTCTTTTAAACAGCTGCTTGTGTTAACTGGATTCACAAGGCCTAAATCATAATAGGAAAGAATTCTACACAATAACATTTCACAAGGCCTAAATCATAATAGGAAATAATTCTACACAATAACATTGCTTTTTTAAAAAAAGAAGAAAAAAAGAAGAAGAAGTACTGTTAAACATCGTTATTTCTCTGGATCAAAATTATGTTTGACGTGGTTGGAAATATAACACG